ATTTCACAATAGGGCAGTGAACACACGAGAAAGTGCTTATCCTCACTGGTTTCTGGTTTATGTTAGGTGACACTGAGTCAGTTCCATCTCATGGTGACCCTACATACAACAGAAAGAACCACTGCCCTATTCTGTGCCAGCCTCACAATCATTAATGTTTAAAGCTACTGTTGCAGCCACGGTGTCAATCCAATGTCACTGACGGGTCTTCTTTTTTTCTATCAAGTTTATTGCTGTTGATTAAGTGCTGTCAAGTCAGTTCTGACTCATAGCGACCCCATATAGTTTTCAAGGAACGGGTGCTGGGTTTGAATTGCCAACTTGGAGTTAGCAGCCCAGTGCTTATTCTATAGCGCCACACCACATCATGTTTATTAGAAAAATGCAAATTAAACTACAGATAAAATTCTATTTTACACCTATCAAATTGGTAAAATTATAAAATCTAACAACTCTTGGCAAGAATGTGGAACACAGGAACTCAAGTACATTATTTGTTAGGTTACTAAGTGCCGTCGAGTTGGGTCCGACCCATAGCGACCCTGTACTTATTACTGGGGGTTTAATTGGCACAATGACTCTAACGGCTATTTTGCATTGCTTAGAGAACAGTTTGAGATCTCCACAGCTTATGAGTCAACCATTCTACCTTTTGGTAGATATACTAGAGTAACTCTTGCACATGAGCATAAGTAGATACACACAACAATGATTATTTATAATCACAGAAGCCTAGGACAAGCCCTAAAGGTACACAGCCGGAGAATGACTACACAGCACATATATGCATAATATCTTCATGATAAATTACTATAGAAAAGATTATAATAGCAGAGCTGCAAGAATCAACTACATCACTATAAAACACTGTAGATTCGAAAAAACTGCCAAATGGCATTTTACATAAAACTCAAAAGCATTTTGCAAAACTATAGTGTTTTTTTACACCAACACTTGTTAGTTATAAAGATCACACAGAATGAGATGCATCAAAATTAAGATGACTACCTACGGGAGGGAGGGGGATAGAAAACAGGTAAAGGTACACAGGGCTCAAAAATTCTGCCATTTGTATTTTATTACTTAAGACAAGAATGGGAGTAAATAAGGCAAAATGGATTAAGATGTGGAAAATGTGCTGATGGGTACATGAGAATTCATCTTTTTATTCTCTGTGTCTAAAATTATATTGTAATTGCAAATTAGAAAAAATAAGACCCGAAGGAAATTCCCCAAAATGATAAGCATTAACTCTTAGTAGTAGGTCTATAATTTTAGTTTTATTGGTTCTGCCTATGTATACTGTCTAAATTTTCTACAAAAACTGTAATTGTTAGGAGTCATTGAATCAGTTCCAACCACAGTAACCCTACACAACAGAATACTGCCTAGTCCTGCACCAAACTCACTATCATTCCTATTTTTGAGCCACTGTTGTCAATCCACTTTATTCACTGATCCTCTACCAGCATGATGTCCTTTCCCCAGGGATTGGTCCTGCCTGATGACATGTCCAAAGTACGTGAGACCAAGTTTCACTCACTTCTAAGTATCATTCTAGCTGTACTTTTTTCCAGTACAGATTTGCTTGTTCTTCTGGTAATCCATAGTGTATTTAATATTCTTCACCAACAACATAATTCAAATGCATCAATTCTTCTTCAGTCTTATTTACTGTGCAACTTATGCATGCAATATGAGATGACTGAAAATACTGTGTGTGGGTTGGGGCAGGCAAGCCCTTAGTTCTTAAAGTAACATTTTTACTCTTCAATACTTTAAAGAGGTCTTTTGCAGCAGATTTGCCCACTGTAATATAGCCACTTGCAGACTGCTGCTTCCATGGGTGGTGATTGTGGATCCAAGTAAACTGATTGTTGATTCAGTTGTCAAGACTGTTTCATGTTGAATTGTAACCCATCTTAAAGGCTGTAGTCTTTGTGGCTTTTATGAGGGGAAAAAAATCTATTCAATTTCCTTTGTGTAATAGATACTTAAGGAGCTCTGGTAGTGTAGTGGTTACGAATCGGGCTGCGAACCGCAAGGCAGCAGTTCGAAACTACCAGCTGTTCTTCAGGAGAAAGATGAGGCTTTCTGCTCACATAAAGATTTACATCCTCGGAAACCCTGCACAGGGTCGCTATGAGTCGGAACTGACTCCACGGCACATAGCAACAACAACATTGCCCCAGATTAGCTAGTATCCTAATAATGGCAGAAAAGACCACTAAAGATATTAATTCAGGATCAAAAAACTCTCAATCCTTTAAAAAGGCAAACTAAGTTCACATTAGGACTCCTGGCGTGGCGCTGTAAAATCAGCACTGTACTGTGAACCACAAGGTCAGCAGTTCAAATCCAGTAGCTGCTCCTTGGAAACGATATATAAAGTCACTATGAGTCAGAACCACCTCGATGGCACTTTAACAACAACTAGCTCACAAATTAATCTGTAAATTCAAAGCACTATTCCAGTGCAAATACTAGTAAGAATTTCCATGAAACATGACAGGTTGGTACTTAAATTTATATGAAAGCATAAATGTGCAAAATATAGGCAGGAAATTTTAATAAAATACTGGAGATTTGCCTTATGTAAAAATATACTTAAAAATCTATAGCAATTTAAAACATGAAATTGATACATAACTGAACAAATATATGGAACAGATTTCTGAAACCCCATATATGTAGAAATAAGCAAAAATCATAATGGAAAAAAATATTGATTAAACTGACAACGAATTAAAACATATATGGCCAAAAGAGAAAACAAAACAACTAATAACCCACAAATCATCATAATCAAAATTAAGACTAGCAGTACACTGGAAGAAAACGCTTATAGACAGTTGATGTTTAGTGTATGTATTATATTTTTTAAAAGTTAATAAATCAATGTATTGCTCAGTTGAAAAATGATTACAAGATTACAAGACACAAACAGGCAATAGGAGAGAAACTATAAATGACTAATAAACAAGATACTCTTACCATTTATCAAGGAAATGTATGTTAAAATGAAAAATTTGGCTTTTCACCTACTCAGCTGACCAAAATTTAAGCCTGTGACTATCAAATGGTAACAAGGAAACCAGTAACAAATTGTCCTTCAAAATGGCTAAACTATTGGTAGAGTGGGAAGAAACAGTTTAGCCATTTTGGAGGAGAATTTGTCACTGTCTATCAAAAATTTTAAAGGCACAGAACCTATGACCCAACAATTTCATTCCTCACCATCTATCTTTGAAACACTCACATAGATTTGCAGGCATAAAAGGATGTTAACAGGAACATCACTTACAATAACGAAAAATCAGAAATGACCTAATCTTTAGTAACAGAAAAAAAACAGTCCAAAAAAGGCACAATTTACTAAAAGGGAAAGCCCCCCAAGACAATCCTGAACAAAAAAATTGCAACTTGAATACCTTAAAAAAAACATGTTTACACTTAGTATGTATGTCTCCCAACACCAAAAAACATGTGTGCCAATTTCAATGATAAAAATTGTTATAATTGTATAGAAATTTCATTAAAGAGAAAAATTTTTTAAAGATCTGTATTTATAATTCTTTTTGGTTTGCTTTTTTTTTTTAAAAAAAAAGGCCTCCGACAGGTCTAAATTGAGCAATCACATACTAGTTTGCATTACAACTACAAGTAATGAGTTAACTGCTCATTTGACTCATAAGAGTTAACATGCTTTCAGACCATGTTTGACTGTTCAAGTCCCCCCAATTTGGGAAAATCAGCCATGGGGGTGCTGAATTAAGTTCCCTAATCAAGTCACAATTTTCAAGTGCCATGCCAACTATAAGAGTGCTTTTGCCTTTCATTACAAAGAAAATAAAAACAATAAATAAGCACTGAAAAAACAAAAATTATGTTCTTTCTGTTAAAAGTGTTGGCCAAGTTGGTTCTGACTCATTCCAACTCTGTATAGGGTGGTTTGAACAGTTGACCTGCTGTTAGCTGTCCAGTGCTTATCTTACAGTGCCATATCAGTACTCCAAATAAATAATAATCACTCGGAGCAATGAAAAATAAATTCAAAATAGGGGCTTTGAATGCCAATAATTTGGTCTTGGAAAACTTCCAGTAAGACAGCTAAATAATTTCTCTGCTCACATATGTGATATAAAAGACCAATACAAATCACACACATTTTGAAAAGTTAGTGAATAAAAATAAGTTAATATTTACTCAACCCCAAGAAGACACACATGAGCACATTTCTAGTTTGCTGACACAGTGAGTGAGGAAAAGCTGGGGACAGACACAGAAATGGTTTTGGTGGAGACCGCTGCACTTGAAAAGCCCCGTCATTTGTTATTCCAGTTGGTTGCTTCTCCTGTTCCACAAAACAGATGGTCAAGACTCAGCAGCATGGTTTTTAGGAGGCACTCACACACCAGCAGCTCTCCTTAACTGTTCTCCAGTCTGGCTGCACAGTAGGCCAAACAGTGGAAATATCAGGGTATTAACCTTCTTTTGTCTACTCCATATTTTGAAAGAAAAAACAGAAAAACATTCATATTACACTGCATGTCAGTGGGGTTGATTCTAATTAGAATAGTTTCTGGCATTTCACATCACCCTCCACTCATTATTGCTTTGCAATCACTCATTCTGAGTAGGTATCAGCCCTCTGGAGCTATTTTGGATTTTCCATGTGAACTTGAAGGTACTAGCTACACTATATAGCTGTATTAAGAGTCTATAAAAAGTCAATTGTAGTACGAAACATTAGTGCTTCCCTTTTCATCAAGGCAATGCAAGACCTCACTCGACAGGACACAACAACATTATTAACTTCCTAGGGTACTTCAAAGCAGAAACAAAATAATTTACCAGAAGAGTCCTAGTTTGTTGTTTTTTAACTGGATCTTTTTAAGCCAGAAAAAGTTATTTTGAACAGCTCTTTTTGTTCTGGTAAAATGATGAAATAAGAGTACTAATACTTCAGAGAATAACTATATTAAGGAAACACAAACAAATTACAGATAAACATTTTAATTGATTAAATATATTATTCCAAGATCTTTTTGAAATCGCACTTATACTGTACTAATCAACAGCCAAAGGCAATAAAAAAGTTTTAAACCAAAAATGTTCTGACATGCCACATGGCAGGAACTGCTGTAAAGTAACATACTGCTCTGCTCCCAACAACAATATTTTTAGAAGACAAGTCATCTTAACATGTGTACGGACAAAACCTATAATCAAAGCCTGGAAGAAATATATATTAGTGCCTGCTTTGTCAAGTTTACTTTACATTTTAAATACAGTATTTTTTGCATTAAAAAAAAAAAAAAACTTCCAGAAAGAACCTCACCCCATGGTTTCTATACCATATGCACATGAGAGCTGACAGACAGCCTGACAGACATTCTGGATGTAACAGTATGGACACCTATGAGCTAGGACTACTTCTGAATCAAACTAAAAGAACACAAATCAGCACTGCTTAGAAGAAAACAATCCAATTTCTGAACAACTGAAAGAAGAGTTAGATATGTACAAAACCAGGTATTAAAAAAACAGAAAGAAATGCAGGGCACACAAGAAACTCAAACAGTTCATTAGGTAGTGAACTGAATATACTGCAGTCAATCAGTGGGAACCCTTCTACAAGAAGTGATTTATGATTTGAAATTTAAAAAATCTAAGTATTCGAGTAACAACATTTAATAACGTTAAGTGTAACTGCCATCTTTGTGATTTTCTATCTACATCACACTCCCTTTTGAAAACAAGAATCTCTAGACTAGTCAATCACTTAATACAATTTTGAGGCAATTAATTCATATTTGTTTTCAGTGAGGAAAACAAAGATGCACCTCCTCTTCCCATCAAAATGCAAAATAAAGACATAATGTAGATTAAAGCTATAAAATTTAAGCATGTGCACATGTATTTCCAATTCTAACAAGTAATTCCAGACTGGAATCATGTAGGATTTGTGCCTAAGTAGTAACAAAAAGAAAATGGCCTGTCTCTGGCAGTGATTTCCTACTAGTGCAATGTTACTCCCCATCACTAAATTATATTAAAATGATTTAAAATATTTAAATTATGTAGGTGCCAATGTAATTTTACAAAATCCCTAAACTGTCTGGTTGTCCAGAAAACAGTTCCAATTTGAGATGATCTATAAAGCCAAATCAAGACAAAACTTAATTTTGCTTTGCTACTTACTGTCTGGAAAACAGATGAAGAGAGAAAAACTGGGAATTTGTGGAGCCTAGCTAAGAAGGATGTTGGAGGTGTTTTGTGTATCTAGATACTTCAACTGTCAGTTGGGTTTGAACATTCTAGGTTAAGATCATCTCAGAAAATAATTCTCTGTAATATAACTCTAAACAGTTGCACCAGAAGCAAAATAATCTTGATCACTCAGAACAAGATTAGATTGAGACAATTTTGTTTCTATATAATCAGTGAGGTCTTGAGTTTTTCGGGTTTTAAAAATGGTGACCTTCAGTTAAAGCCAGCTGCATCTCATGTAGCTATTTAACATAAAGATTTCAAATCAAAGGGCAGTATAGTACGGGCTCTCATAAAACACATGGAACAGGCAGCAATGGACTAACCATCAGCCAAGTGGGGTCAGCGGTGGGATATTTTATTTTGGAGACTTTACAGGTATTTAACATGTAACTTCAGCATCCACTAGAGACTCTGCTGGTCAGCACCCAAGGGCTAGATGAGTCTGAGGGATCCCTTTAACCCTAAATTATTAATGTCAAAGGGTCTCAGAGAAATCTTGATTCCCAACAAGAGTTCAAAAACCATTAGAATAAAAGCAATAAACACTGACTCCAATGCTCCACAAGTCAAAAGAGATTTCCAAATTAAATGCCATCTTCTGCCCAACCCTAGCCTCCATACTCTGTAACAACATCTTTATCTAGTATAATAGACTCTGTAGTAGACTGATTTGGACCTCCATAAAGAGTAGGAGTTGTCAAATTTGAGAAGATAAACTCCTCTTCCTGGATACTGATGGCTGCCAGCATACACTTCTTCATGACAGTCCCGTCGGTACACAGGTACAATCTCATCCAGCAGAGGCTTGTTGGCATTCTTTTTGGCTTTCTCTTCATTACTGATGTTTTCTGAAAGAAAGAATAAGAGAAAAGTCAATGAATAAACCCAGGAAAACCACATTTGTAGCAAGCAATTAAGGAGCTCTGGTAGCATAGCGGTTACAAAGTCAGGCTGTTAACCTCAAGGTCAGCAGTTCAAAACTACCAGCTGTTGCATGGAAGAAAGATGAGGTTTTCTGCTCCTGTAAAGATCTCCAGCCTTGGAAACCCTATACAGGGGCACTATCAACTGGAACCAAATCCACGGTACACAACCACCAACCACCACCACCAGCGAGCAATTATAGTTCATCCTTCAAGAAATTACTCTTTTAGGAATTACTCTGATCCACTCTGCAGCTTGTGTGAATACAAACATGTACCTGTCCATGGGAAATTCATTCACATATCTGAGCACAAAGCATTGTCCTCAGACCTAGAAATTGTACAGGGTTTACGAGAAGCCACCAGTGAGCTTGAACTGCCAACCTTGCAGTTCAGCACATTAACCCACAGCATCACACCAGGACTCCAGAGGAGCTCAAGAAGACATAACTAATTAAATAACTCTAAAGTGGTAACTAAAATGGGACCTTTGAACAGAAAATAAAAACTGAGGAAATCTCAATACGTTGTTGTTGTTAAGTGCCTTCGAGTTGGTTCCAACTCATAGTAACCCTGCAGAGGGTTTTCAAGTAGCAGCTAGTGAGCTTGAACCACCAACCTTGTGGTTCAAACCGACCTTATAAGTCCAGGTCGCAGCACCACACCAGGACTCCAAATAAATATAGACTTTAGCTAACAATAATAAACCAGTACTGGTTCATTAGTTATGACAAATGTAAGAAAGTACAGTGGAACCTGTGAGAGCTGTCACTTCACAGGACTGCTTTGTTTTTCCGAGTCTCAAAAATTGTATCCCCCGGAAAGGGTGCAGTGGTGCTGTGCGTTAATGACCCTATAGGGAACTGCTTGTAGAGTTTCAAAAGCTTTAATATCTTTATAGAGGCAGACTGCCACATCTTTCACCATGGTGAGTTCAGTTAGCAGCTGAGTGTTAACCAATGCACCACCAGGGCTTCTGATGGCTCTCTATTAGTAGACAACATGTTGAGTTTTCCTTCTGACAGGTTTCCAGGAGCCTTACACAGGTTTCAGCTTTTGCTGGTTTTACCATACAACGTAAGATGCTATGTTAGGTATACAGAAACTCTTTATACTATCTCTGCAACTCTTCTGTAATTCTAAACTATTTTTAGATAAAAGACTTACTGAAGAAGGAAAAAAAGACACTGTTACCAAAGTACGCCCAAATTAGATTTGCTTTTTCATAGCAAGAACTAAAATGAAATGTCTTTCATGTACTAATGAGAAGTACAGACATTCAAATACCATTGCCTATTAGGACATCCATGAAACAGACTGGTCCATTAATTCCAGATAAAAAATTTTTTAAATCAAAACCTGTGAAATGAAAGGTAACTGGAATAGATTAAGGATGTACCTTTCATCAATTTAAACCAAGACTTGAAACTTTCAGAAAAATAAAAAAGAATTAAAATAGAGGATAAGATACCATCTATACTTCAGAAACACTCCCCCCGCCCCCGCCTACCTTTTAGTACCTAAAACTAAAACAACACAAAATCTCTGAACTCTTCTTGCCTCTTAAGTAAGTCTAAAGGGATTCTCATAAGTGCACAATGTAGCCTTTAGATAAATGCAGCTTGCGAACTAAATCTTCAGCAGGAGACAGTTATGCTCAGTCTTAGCAAATGTTTTTATGGGTAATAAGCCTTCACTTTTGATACTGTTAATACAGAGGTTCTACAAATCTTTTTTAGTTACAAAACATTTTACAATAAGGAATGAGTACAGAATGAGTAATGTTATCTCCCATCTTAGGGATATGTATTAGGGCTAAGGTTAAGGACATCGAGGTTATCACCTCTAGATAAACACTGGATCCTAGACTTATTTTTACCAGTGCGTGTCCCATCATTAATAGCCCCCAAAATATAACCAGTTCATAGCTTATACTAAGAAGTACTTACTTTTATAGAAGTTCCCCATCAGGCAACCCACTTCTAAACAGATAATTTTTCCATTCATTCAAAAGCTCTCCATGAGTTTACATACACACAAGAAAATTCTTTCCTAGACATTTGCAAATTATGTGATTTTAATGACTTCCTGTGATGACCCAAAAGTTTAGAGGATTCAGTAGCTCCTGGGGAGGAGGAGCACCTCACACAGTGATGGTAATACCTGGCCAACCTGGTCAGGTCTCTCACCATTCAGCCTGTTTTCATTCTTGCAGTTTTTTCTAATTCAGTCAGTAGTAGTATTTATGGGCAATGTTCTGTCTTGCTAGTGGAACTACAGAACAAAGTCAACTGAAAAACAAATTTCATGCAAGAAAAAGTATGATATTGATCCACTATCATGGTCCCACATTTGTGAGCTGACATCTGGGTCTGCTGTATATAATATGGAGTTTATGATCTGCTTCTGGATTAATCAATCTGCAAGATGTACCGGCATTTCTAGGATGTTCTGATGTAGATAAGGTACAGACACAGACAGACAATAATAGGTACTGGTAAAAAGACTGCTTTTACATGAAAAACTGTTAAATATGATGAATATTAATTAAGAATATTGTGACCTCAATTATGTACCTCAAAAGTTGCTTTAACATTGCAATGAAACGAAACATGATAGGATGAGTGTAAAACTGATGTTCTCCCACTCAATTCACAATAAAAACGTTTTTAAAAGTTGATTTAAGATAGAGCCATTGCCATGCTGCAATGAGTCTCAATGACTGGTAAGACTGAGGAATTCGCACTGACCACCTAAGACAGGCAGCCTCCCTTAAACAAATAATAAATAAGGGGGAATCTGATGCAGACCGTGCAGACCCAGTCAGGAGTTCAAGGCCCTGTGGGCCCAAGAGTTGCTGACCGTCCAAACCATAGGCTCTGAGGATCAGACTTTAGCCACCTAGCAGACATAGCAAAATGTCCCTCATCTGATTATTCAGTTATGCTGGTTAGTAATTCCATACATGAGCCCTGGATACCCACAGATAAATGTAAAAACCTTCCCTAAAAGCCGAGACTGTATATTCCAAAAAGGCAAAGTTTCCCCCACCCCCGGCCAAAAAAAACTAAAAAGGATAGAGAGAAACTTTGTTAACTGATGGTAAGTGGAGGGGATTATAATCAATGTAATGAAACAAGGTATATGAATGTTTGAATGTGAAACCGATGATGTGCTCTGAAAACTTTCACTCAATCCACAATAAAAACCTTAAAAAAAAAAAAAAAAAAAGTTGATTTAATTAAGCTCTCTTTACCTTCCCCTAAGCATTACCTCTTTAAATTTATCCCAATATCATCCCTGTGGGACTTCAATATTATCAACTTTCTTCAAGACTGAGCAGTCTGTTTACAAGCTACCTGAAAGGTTAGTTCTAAAGAACTGTCATGGTGCTTGTTCCAGTCTCAGAGCCAGGGCACTCTTTCCATTTCACTCCTAATTCAAGTCAACAAATCATTTAAATGCTTACTTTTGCAGTCAAGTACCATCAAGTCAGTTTCAACTCATAGTGACCCTGTATTTCCAAGGCTTTAAAATCTGTGAAGGAGCAGAAAGCCTGATCTTTCTCCTGTGGAGTGGCTGGTGGGCTCGAATCACTGACCCTGTGGTTCGCAGTCCAGTGCTAATCAATCGTATGGAGCCACAGCACCCCTCAAAATGCTTATTTTTATAGTTGTTGTTAAGTGCCATCGAGTCGATTCCGACCCATAGCAACCCTGTGTAGGGTTTCCAAGGAGTGGCTGGTGAGCTTCAACTGCCAACCTTGCAGTTCAAGCTGGCTTTGCTATCCAGTGCATATCCCACAGTTGTGCAGAAAAACTTCCAGTTCTGACTTTAATTAATAACAAATTGAGAGCAACTACTCAGTATGTAATATATTTTGTAACCCACTTCCTGACCAAGATAGTTCATACTGTCCTTGAAAATGCCTGATTTTGCCTATTTATTCAGAGAATATAAAAAATCACCCTCTGGGATTTCCAAAGACAATAACTAAAAAACTTTTAGGTGGAATGTTTTGGAGAATCTTTTCTGCTTACATTAAAAAAAAAAAAAAAAAAATCAGAGTGATGGCCTAAAAATGCTAATACTGGAAATAAAAATTTAAATAAATTCCAAGGTTGACAGAATTTCTTACTCGTACCTTTAAATTTTTTTCAAAATGAATTTACACATTTAGCTTTTCAGCACACAAGGTTGAAAGTAAAACCAATGTAGAAAGCAGTAAAATGACAAAATTACTCAACATTTTCTTGACATTCAAAAAATTTCATGTTCGTGTCCCATTCTTCCTGCAAGAGACTGGCCTCTCTTAAACCTTTTTCAGTCTAAGATTCCACTAATGAAGAAGCTTTTCCCTTTTGCAAGAAGAACTAATCAGAAAGCATAAAAATGGCTGACATCAGAACTACCATTTTTGCCAACACATGACCTGGCTGCTACTGAATTTGGATTATTGGCCCTACCTTCCTCCTCGTCGTCATCATCACTGGACTCACTGACATGCACGCTGACAGCAGTGTTTGGAGAGTCTGTCCATTCAAAGTACACCCCAAACCCAACATCATAATTGTCTGTAGCAAACTCCCAAAAGAGATAGGATCCTTCTTCGTGGGTGGGTACTCGAACAGTGACCACTTCTCCTCGGCCCACTGTAATAACGGAATCCGCATCCTGCCGAATCTTCTCTTTAAAGTCTTTGATCTGGGGTCGTGTCCACATAGATGGAGCTGCTATCACTGGAAGAGAGTCTAAAGGCAACAGGAATTAAAAGCTAGAGCGGACTGCACCAACAGGCAGCAACACTTGCTTTAAGACCATCTGCCATGCTACCAGTATGTAGGCATCAAGTGCCAATACATCTGGCCTCAAGGCTACAAATAGTTTAGATCAAGAGCAACAGAAATATGTAAGCTTCCCCATGAAGGTCCTTCCCCAAATTGAACAATATCACAGACGTTCAGAGGTCATACCATCACTTCAAGTAACAAATTCAAACAATCTTAAAAACAATTTTTTCCAACATTTCTGCCTTGTACTCTCTTAGATCACTTGCTATGGGGGGTGCCAGTCACTGTGTCTTGAAAGGCTTCATGGAACTAGGAACTAAGTTCTCCTGCATGGGGCGGGGCAATGACTGAGGTTTCCTGCCATGGTAAGTATTCAGACAACTACAGCACCAGTCCACATCTTGACTACAACCTCATGATAGCCCCTAACCCAGAACCACTCAGCTGAGTTGTTCTTGAATTCCTGACTTACAGATATTGTGTGACAGTAAATGTTTATTGCTATTGTAAGCCACTAAATTTGGGTGTAATTATTTACAAAGCAATAGAGGACCAATGTACATAATAAGACAACTCAAAGTATCCAAAAGACATCTAACTTGCTTGTCTACATTATAAAGACCACCCAAAGCATCAAGATTCAAACTAAAAATAGTAAAAAAAATTGTTTACCTCTCAGAAATACATAACTGCTCTTTAAAGCCAGCTAACTTGACTTCTTGGCTTTTGTTTCTCAGGGAATCTGTACTGACATCTGGATAAAGGGCACATGAGCTAAACCGTACCTTTTGGTCCATTCTCCAAGGCTTCTTCTGCAGCTTCAGGTTCCGGTTCTTTTTTAGAGTTTTCAGTGTGGGTTTTGGCCTGTCCATTAACTGACATTTTATCAACTGGTACAGTTGCATTCACTTTTGATGATGTAGACAAAGCAGCCCCAGCTACTGCTACTTCCTGCTGTTTCTGTAATGCTGCCTACAAGTCAGGAAAAAGTGAAGATACAATGACCAAAAGACTAACAAGCTGGACATTCACTTTGGAGTGCGTTCTGATCCTAAGCCTTTGCCCTGCAAAGTGCTCTTCTCCACAATAAATTATTAATGAGTTTTTATCAAATTTAATTCTCTCAAAGGTAGAGTACTGGTGCGGTGCGGTAGGTAGGATCAGCAATGGACTGTTAAACACAAGGTTGGTGGTTCAAACCCACTAGACAATCTGTGGAAGAAAGAAGAGGTTTTCTGCTCCCATAAAGACTTACAGACTCGGAAACCCTATTGTTGTTATGTGCCATCGAGTCAGTTCCGACCCATAGCGACCCTGTGCAGGGTTTCCCTATAGAGGGTAATTATTAGTCAGAATTGACTAGATGGCAGTGGTTTATAATATTGTTGTTGTGGTTTTTAAGTGCTGTCCAGTCACTTCCAACTCACAGTGACCCTATATAGGGTTTCAAGCTGGTGGGTTTGAACCATTAACCTTGTGTCTCAAATTGGCCTTGAGGTCTAGTGCTTATCCTCAGCACCACACAAGAACTCACAATAAGTATTAGTGGCATAAAAATTATCAACACAATATCAAAACAATAGCCAAATAACAAACAAATGATAAACAATAATAAATTGATGAAACAACAAACAAACAAAAAAAACCAAGGGTCACATTTTTGTGATGTGAAACGGGGAGAGATTAGGCAGAAATAATACCAAAAGCCATACTTGTTGCACCAAGCTGATTCTTACTTTTTAGGAAAGAGTAAAACTACCCATAGAGTTTATAATCTATAAATCTTTATAGAAGAAAACTGGCATATCTTTCTTTTTAGGAGCGGCTAGTGGATTTGAAGTGCTGACCTTTCAATTTGCAATGGAGCACTTAACTATTATGCCAGTAGGTCTCCTTAAGCTGAAATAAACAAATTAAAACCATTAAGAGCAAAAGCTGAACACAGTAACTTTTGTCCTTAAAATATGCAAAGAATGAAAACACTGATTTTCAGTTCCAACTCATAGCAACCCTGTTAAAGGGTTTCCAAGGAGTGGGTGGAGGATCTAAATTGCTGATCTTGTGGGTAACAGCCCAGTGCTTATCCTATAACACCCCCAAAACATACACACCTCCCACAAAGTAACTAATGAATTAAATATGGGCAAAAATAAAATTATCTTGATGTACTCTTTTGGACATAAAAGAGTACCGTAAGAGTACCTGATGCTACTTTTAACCCTACAGATTAGTTTTGCCTGTTTCTGAATTTAAATGGAATCATATCATCTGTATTCTCTTGTATGTATGGCTTTTTTCACGCAATAATTAGTTTTGGAGGTTCATCAATAGGGTCATGAATGTTGTTGTTGTTATGTGCAGTGGTGTCAGTTCCCTCATAGTGACCCTGTACAGGGTTTCCGAGGTTGTAAATCTTTAAGAGAGCAGAAAGCCTCATCTATCTCCTGCGGAACAGCTGGTAGTTTTGAACTACTGACTTTGCGGTTCGCAGCCTGTTTCATAACCACTACGCTACCAGAGCTCCTTAGGGTCATGAATGTTGTTAAGTACCGTGGAGTTGGTTCCGACTCACAGTGACCCTGCACAGGGTTTCCGAGGCTGTAAATCTTTACGGGAGTAAAACGCCTCATCTTTCTCCTGCGGAACCGCTGGTGGTTTCGAACTGCTGACCCTGAGGTAGGCAGTCCAAGTTGCAGCCTATTTGTTTACATTATTATAGGATATTTCATTATGAAAATATTAAATTCAGCCACTTTATTTTTGATGGGCATTTGGGCATCAAAGTAAATTTTAAGACTAAAACTCTTAAGTCACAGTTAAACATTCACTGCTATTAGAAAAAAGGAAAAGAAAAGCAAAGGAAAATGGGGCGGGGGCACGCCTTTAAAATTCAATGATCTAAAAACAATGATATATTTTGACATGTCATTCCACTTTTTTCTATCAGTATTTGTATACATGTTTCATTTAATGTAACATTCACTGAAATAAAAAGCAACACCACTCTGCTGCAGGTTAGTAACAACACACTTCCAGGAAGGATTTTTAACGCACTTTCTTTCAAGGCCTTAACAATTCTACTCTCAATCTTCTGCATCAGTTTTCTAGACTGAGTTTTCCAAAAAAAGTACACATAATCAGAAGAAGAAAGCATACTCAGAGCATTCACTGCAAGACAGGTAAGAAAAAACAACATTCTTGTTAATGACTGACAGGCCCAACTCAAATGGTCCCTTTCTGGAAACTCACTAGCGAAATGGGTACCTCCTTTCTGTAGAATCCCACCACCTGTGTATAAATAAGGGGGCTTCAAAAAGTTCATGGAAAACAATTAAAAAGTGATGGCGAAAAAACTTTAGGCAAGATGGAGGACTAGACAGACATACTATACCAAGCCTCTACAACAAAGATATGGGAGACCAAACAAAATGAGATAATTCCTGGAACACTGAGCTTCAGAGGAAAGGTTAGAGAAGTAGATTGAACACTTATGGGAGGAGAAGCTGAGTAGGGGCAGCGAAAGGATTGGTGTTGTTGTTGTCAAGAGTCCTTGAGTCGATTCTGACCCACAGCGACCCTGTAGAGAGTTTCCAAGGAGCAACTGATGACTTTGAACTGCCTACCTTGCAGTTCAAACAGCTTTGAAGTCTGACACATTAACCTACAGTGCCATACCAGGATGGTGGTGGTGGTTATGTGCCGTGGAATCAGTTCCAACTCACAGCGACCCTGACAGGGTTTCCAAGCTGTAAATCTTTATGGGAGCAGAAAGCATTATCTTTCTCCCATGGAAGAACTGGTAGTTTCAAACTGCTGACCTTGAGGTTCGCAGCCTGATTCGTAACCACTACGCTACCAGAGGATACTGACTGGTAAATGGAGTGCTGGTCAAATGCAGCGCAGCCACCTCAAGGTGAACTTTCTTGAGCAGATCTGGAGCAGACAGAGGTGGCCTGTCAGTACAGATTCACACTGTTGTTGTTGTTAGGTGCCACTGAGTCAGTTCTGACTCATAGCAACCTTAGGCACAGCAGAATGAAACACTGCCCACTTGTCTGTCAGTTTGTCATACTGTGGTTGCTTGTGAGTTGCTGTCATTCTGGAAGCTATGCCACCATTATTTTAAATACCAGCAGGGTCACCCATAGTGAACAGGTTTCAGATGAGGTTCCAAGTGAAGACAGACTAGGAAGAAGGAATGACAAAATACTTACGAACATTTAGTCACTGAAAACCTTATGAATAGCAGAGAAACAGATTCACATAGATAATGTAAAAGGTGTGATTCTTTCTTATGTCCCCACACTTCACTGGAGACCAGAGGTGTGGCTTGCCCTCACCCTCATCTACCCCAGTGCAGACCCTGCTCTCCAGTTCAGAGCTGTATGGTTGTCGGTCATGCTAGTTTGAGGTGGGTGCCAGCTGCACCACCTTGGTGCCTAGATTCTAGCACTAGACCTCTGCTCTTCTGTCCTGCTCTGCTCGGTCTGCAGGCTAGAATTCGACTAGCAGAAACCCTCATATTCAGTTACCCTACCACCAGCAGTCCCTCTAGTTTTGAATAGGCACTGAAATCAGCAATAGGAAGGGCCTACATGAACTACCTTCTGATCGAGTACCCTGAACAAAGATGACACCTAGGTCTATAGGAATTCAATCTAGGGCTGGGAACTCAGTGGTCATATCACTTCCCCACCCACTTCATGAGCTCCTTGATTCTGGGAGCCCCCCAGAAGTTTCTCCTCTCTGGGTTCAACAAATGCACTGGATTTTGGTTTTTCTTTTTTGTTGCTGTTTCTTTCTTCTCCTTCTTCTATTCCCCTCCCCTGGTTTTTACCCTTTAAATCTCTACTTTTGTTTTTTCTTCTTCTATTTCTCATTTATACCATCCTCTTCTTTTTTTCCTCTTGTTTTGTACTATTCTCTAGTCTCTTCCTCTTTTCATCTTCCCTCTGATTTATTTTAATTTTTTCCCTCTCTCTCTTCCTTTTATTTTCTCTCAGTTTTCTCATAAACAGCTCTAGTTTCCTGTCCTTAATCTTTTGAGTTATTATGTTCTTTTTGTCTGGTTGCTACCAGTTTTTCTTTTTTCCTTTATCGTATTCTGTTTTCACTTGTTTTGTTTTCTTGTGTGTATGTGTTTGCTCCTCTTGTCCCACCGGATGCAAAGCCATTTGAACTGCAAGGTCGGCGGTTCAAGCTCACCAGATGCTCCTTGGAAACCCTATACAGGGTCGCTGTGGGTCGGAATCGACTCGAAAGCACTTAAGAACAACAACAATATATATATATATAACCAACAGCCAACATCATTCTCAATGGTGAAAAAATGAAGACATTCAGCCTGTCAACAGGAACCAGACTAAGACGCCCTTTATCACCACTCCTACTCAATATTGTGCCTGAATTCTTATTCAGAGTTATAAGACAAGTTAAAGGTACCCAAATTGGCAAAGAAGAAGCAAAACTATTTCTATTTGCAGATATGATCCTATACTTAGAAAAATCCCAAAAACTCAGCAAGGAAATTACTAGAACTCATTGATAGATTCAGCAAAGTGGTAAAGTACAAGATCAACATACAAAAACTCATTGGATTTTCACACTAATAAAGAGAGTTCTGAAAAAGAAATCAGGACAAAAATACCATTTACAATAGTCACCCAAAAGATGAACTATTTGGGAATGAATCTAGCCAAAGAAACAAAAGCAAACTGCAAAAAAACAAAAGAGACCCAGAAAAATAAACAACGGTTGTGGACAGGAAGACTCAATGTCCTGAAAATGTCAACACAACCTAAAACAATCTACAAATATAACACAATCCCACTCCAGACTCCAAAGTCATTAATTAAAGAGATAGAAAAACTGGTCACTAGCTTCATATGGAAAGGAAAGAGACCCCAGACAAGCAAAGTAATACTAAAAAGGAAGAACCAAGTAGGAAGCCTCAAAACCTACTACATAGCAAC